GAGCCTATGGAGAGTGGTCGAATACAGCCCCACTCTATACGCTATCGTTCTACCACTTGGCTGCACTCCTGGCAAGGTGTTCTTACAGAAACAAGGTGTCTACACGGAGGGTGCGCCTGGACCGTTTGAACTGCCGACAATGCAAGTGTGGTTAGGCAGGCAAGGGGGAAGTAACTTGCTGCAGATAGTATACGCACTTGTTGCGTGCGGGGACGCGATGTGCGCTCGCGCCCATGTGCCACAGGCGTCACTGCCCCCACGCCGTCAGCTCCGCGCTCCGCCATGCACTGCGCCCACCACCCCCCCACCCCCCCCCTGTACGGCCCTGGCTGTCTACGGGGCGGGTGCATCCAGAAGCCATGCCTGTTGCGTCACACTTGCACAAGACAAACAACATCCTTCGCACGGCAGCTCTTTGTCGCGCCATGCGCTGCACTCTGGCTCAGGCTGCACTACTGCTACCACCGCCGCTACCGCTGCCGCCGTCCTTGTCCTTCACAGGACAACGCATTCCGCCGACGATGCTTCTATGGCATTGCAGTCCGACTGAGGCACAGGCGGGTCGTATTCATCCGGACTCACACGTAGGTGGGGGCATTTCTCTGCAGTTAGCAGCGAAGCCTGGATGGCTTTCTGAATGTCCTCCTCCTGCCACAGACACAACTGCCTGCACTCCGTTCTGACAAGTCGGTGGCGACCTTGCTCTTAGTCTTGCTCGTGTCCCGCGAAGTCTGGCAGGACGACGGTACGTTCGACGATTGCTTTCGTTCCCTGGCACGCTAACTGTCCTGCCTGCTTGGCAGCTTTCGACACCTGCTTCCGGCCATAAATTAGAGAACATACTGTTAAGCAGTGAGGCACAGCCTGGCCCTTGTCTTTCGCATCCTGAGCCATCGATTACCAAGCACATGCTGTGCCCTTTCAGTATGGCTGACTAGAGTGACGCGCCTTGGTCGATGGCTTCTGACCTGCGCGGGGATGGGCATCAACCTCCGCGTCCGTGCTGAGAGCGTCGTCCTGAGGGGACGGAGCCCAAAGAAAAGTCCTGGATCTCTAGGTTCCCGTGAGCTCGTGAGGTCTGAGGCGAGCACTGCTCCTTGCGTCACAGTCGCCTGGCAAGACAAGCTGCACGTTATGTCCACATCGGGGACGAGCGCATGCATGTCGTCTCTTGCCTTTCGCCGGGTAGTCGTCTTAGTGCTGCGACCTTCTGCAAAGTTGCGCGGACTTCCAGACGCGCGTGGCGCTCACTCGCCCCGCGCCTCCGCTCGAGTTCTTCTTTTGCTTGCGACCTACGGCAGCTCAATGGTGCTCACAGACTATATAGCAAACAGCAACACACAGTCACTCAGCAGCGAGCCCCGTGTCTGCGACGCTGTCTGCTCCTTCGAAGTTTCTTCACCGTCCTTGGCTTTGCAAAACTGCGTGGTAAACCTTCTGTCAGGCACTCCTGCCTTGTGCTCTGCTGGAACCAGCATGTCCGCCTGGTGTCTGCTTCTTCAGCCAACAGTGTGCGGTTGCACGATACGTCCCGGCCTCTTTGCGGAGTGCTGCGTCTCTTGTTCGCTTGTTCTGCTGCCGCGTCCGGTCCTGCTTCCGGATCTCCGCTAGAGCCGCGCGCGCCTCGGCGCTTTGGCAGCCCTTCTGGCTGCATTTTGCGTTTTGCATTCTGGGGCTCCGACTGTTTCGTTTTCCTTCGCACGCGCTGTGAGGTCTGCGCGCTTCTTGCTTCTGTTGGATTTGGCGTTGTCTCTCCAGCGCTTGAGGTCCTCCAGCTTAGGACGGACTGACTTGCTGCGATGCGCCCGATAACAGCTGCTTGCACTCCAGGCCTGCTCTTGCTTTGCCACTTTTTTCTCCAGCTCTTTCAAGCGCTGCTGCCGGGCTTTGGCTTGCGCCTTTGCTGCTCGCGCCTGAGCCCGCGCCGTCTGCGCCGGCCGGCCCTCTGCCTTTTTGGTTAATGCCTCGGCAGCCTCCGCCTTGCGCGACCGTGTCATGTACTGTTTTCCGGCACTATAGGGGTGACAACAGCCGAGCCTCTGCTTCTTGGTTCGCGTGCTGCGAGTAGTGCTGATACACGAACCTGCGCACAGCCAGCAGATGCCGCAGCAAAGCTTCCCGGGTGCAGTACAGGTGCTCAGCCTTTGTGGTCTCGCGCACTGGTTCGCACATCTGCGCTTCGCATGAGCGCCGCGCGACGTAGTCCAAAGCACTCGTGACGGAGGTGCGACTGACGAAGTCTGCTTCAAAGAGGCTTTCCATGAGCTGCACCGTCCACCAGCCTGTGCAACTAACGTTCTGCCGCCATAATCCAGGCTACGGCCGGTATTATAATAACCGGGCAGACAGATGCTGGCGAGTTGCATTCCAGCACCTCCTGCACATCTTCCCACAGCACGAACTCTCGCCGAGGCTGGCCTCAGACCGCACATGTGTACAGTCTTGCCAAGATTACTGTCTGATTCACCGCCTGCTTTTCGTCGCTGGTCGGCCCGCACTGCCGCGCGGAGCCCCTTACGCCGTGCGGCAGCATCCTCGAGCAGAGCGGCGGCATCAATGCCTGCGTTACAGCAAAGTTGCGGATGTCACGTATGTTGCGAATCCGCCTGCGGCATTTTCTGTGTCTGCTTCCTCTGCCCCTTAACTTGCTCTCCAAGTCAAGCCATCATCAGACTTCCCTGCTCCTTGGTCTACTGGTCTAAGTGGAGGACCCGGCACGCGGTCGTTCCCGCCTCTGCTCAAACAGGTTCAAGTAACCACTCGCTCCGGCGAGATGGTCCGTGCCTCCTGCTTCGCCGGCGGCGGGTCCGACTGTCTCGGCCTCTCACACACACAAGCACTCCAGGTGCCTTGCTTTCCCCGCTGGTCCGGCGGCCGTGCCTCCAAGTCTCCGTTCTGACCTGCTTTCGACTCGCATCCTAATGTCTGGTTGTAGGGTTTGCTGGGAGCCACACATGGCACATGGCACTCAGCCACCCAATTGCGCATTCGGCAACTCTGCTTGCTTTCGCGCGCGACCGAGGCGGTAACGGTGTTGTCCGCAGGAGGCGCCTGTCGCCGGTTCGGACACAACTTTGTCTTCGTCGCACGCTTTGCATGGCCTCCACAACTGCAGGTACCTGCGCCAGGCAGGATTCCCGCTTGTGGGAAGCCTCTGGAGCAGGCCCGCCTCCTCGGCTGCTTCTGGACCTGCCGCTTCTGCCTCACAAGCCAGGTTTAACTAGGGTGCCACTGCCTCTCTTGCCGTGCCTGCGGCCCTTCGTTCGTGTTTTCACCTGGTTGTCTATGCCCGCACCATCAGTCTAATTAACTTCTGCCGATGACCACACCAACACCATTAGGCCCAATCTCACATTGCTCAGTTGGTTTACTTGTCCATCACCTCGACTAAGGCAGCAGCAGAGTCTGTGGAGCGCGGTACCTGGCAGGTAACTAGACACAGAAGCCACTGTGCAGTTAGTGATTCGCGCCGCCTCCATCGCGGCAGGTGCCTGCCATAGCACGGCTTTAAACTCCAAGGCCGCAGGCACCAGTGCTGCAGTGTGCCTCTGGCAACCCGTGAGGAGCTGGTCCTCACGAACAATAAAATTCCGTGCATGACCGTTTGTTCCTCACAGGCTCCTGCTCCACAGACCAGCCACGCGACCGTGGCGCCTGCCACGTCAAGGGCTTTCTGACTTGTGTTTTAACACTCTGCGGTGTCTCGGTCGTCGACAAAGCAGTCCCATCACAGCTGTCACCAGCGACCTCGAGGCTCGCTTCGGCTTTCGGCCTCATGCCTGCCTCGGATCTGAGTTGCCGGCATGCTGTCAGCAGAGAAGGGCAGCTCTGGTCTTCACTGAGCCAAGCCGTGGCTCTCACATGTGACATGTAAATGTGTGCCTATATACAGTTATGGAAAATTATATGTCTCTGCATTCCGCTGTAACATGTTTGTATTTTTGCTTCGGCCGTCGGGTGTCTTCGGCAACGCTCCATAATAGGACATACTCAGGCCGCCGCAATGGAGCCTTACGACAAACTTCATTCGAAGCACTGTGAAAACCTCTACGCAAACGCGAAAACACTCTTCAGTCCTGCATGCATTCCCGCGTTAACTGTGCCAAGAAACATGTACAATCTCACACGCTGAGAGTTGTAAGTGGGTGGCCTTGGGGTGGGTCAGCCTGTGGGCCAGTGCGCGCCCACAAACGCGCGCTTTTGATTGGCGAGGACCCAACTGTGGCGCGCAGTTATAGCACAGGCTCGCTCTTCTGGTTTCAAGCCACTGACACTCGGATTGCCATTGTTCGGATAAAAGCTACCACTCGCGCACGCTGTGTGGAGTCAAGCCATGGGACTTGCTTGGGCCAAAAGCCTCGAGGTGCATCTTGAGATGCTTGTTGCTTGCGACTTCTTCGCTCAAGTGTCAGGTAGGGTAGCGGCGGGGCGCGCCGCCGAAACTCCGCGAATTTTTTTTGCACAGCTGCGTGGTTGTTGCCGCTGCAGCGTTGCATCTTGAGG